GATCACCTCCTTCATGCGGTCCCAAGTCAGGGCATTAAACTCCGCTTGCCTCAACCTCCAATAGCCGGACCACCATAGAGCGGCATCGCCCTTCAGCATATAGCGGCCACAGATGACCTTCTGGGCGTTGGTGCACTGCAGCAAATCGAAATTCTGCTCTAACTGACGAATCCACTCCGCCACTGCTTCGGGCCCTTCGACCCCGGTAAAAGTCGGCGGGGTCAACTGGCGAAATTGAATCACAATGTTGAGATGAGCCCCAGCCGGATTGGGAGCCTGCTGGTGAGGGGGATATGGGGGTGGAGATGGAGACGGGGAAGGCTACTGGTTGCGAGCATTACGACGAGCCATAGTTCTACATTGAAAATGGGTCGAAGAGTTTAGCACAATAATATAAGAAATCTAGAGTTCAACACTAGAGTTTGCATTTAAAGGTGGATTAGTCCTAACCCCGATTTCATTCCAATAATCAATAATCAAACAATATTGTAGTAATCTGAAAGTTATTCAGGTACTCATACTTGAGCTGGCGCGGCACGACGAGAGCGAGTGGTCTTAACACATAATCACATAATCAATTTTTATACCTAGACCAGTCTACAGAAACGCAGACTGGCTCTGATACCAAACTGTAACGCCCCACTTTTATATACCGAAAATCAGAATAAATTTTTCGAAATTTATTTTCAAAAATAATATTTGAGGCGCTACTCATTTTCAAAACAATAATCCATGCTCAACATTTTCTCAATACTCGGCAATTATCAATACTCATAGTCAATATGAAAATCTCAATAATCAATCAAAATCCAATAATAATCCTAGGGAAAATAATCCCTATCAATAATCCAATACTCCAATACTAACGAAAAGCAATAATCGATAATAACGCAATAATATCCAAGTTTAATTTAAAGTGGAAGCATTAAACAATTTGAAGACCACCACTCGCATCCCTTCCGCCGTGCCGCATAAACTAACATGCATCCGTGAAGAGCAGGTGGGGATGAGCACAATAAGAAATCGAGGTGCTCACCGCTATGCAATAATTAATATCAATAAATATAAAACAATTTACGTATAGTCGCAGCATGTATATATACGAAT